CATCATTCTTCTGGCTATTAGTATTCACATTCTTCAATCTGTATTGATGCTTGTAATATATCTATGCCATTTGAATTATTTTTATTTATTGTTTATTTTCTTCATTTTGAATATGAGATTTGTTTTTGTTGACTTTTTTTCTCAATTGAAGCTAATCAGAAATGGTGAGATTGACGCTGCACTCAGTAATCTTCGTGATTGGTATCCCCAGATAATGGAGGTGAACACCATCTACAGTGCAGTTGCTGTTTTTAGTCTCATGTTTTTATTTACTTGGTACATAATATGTAGAGGACTTTGACGTTCAAGTTTCATTGTGATTTTTCTGTAATCAATATATGTACTGACAACCATTAAGTGTGTACACACCTCTTAATCTAATTCCTGCTTCAAATAATCATCTAGATGGCCCATTTTTTATTTTTATTTTTACCACACCACCACCACCACCATGATTTGGTACATTTAGATTGTATTATCCTGTTAAATAGGGACAGTCACAATACCTTTGTGACAGCTTGGCTCGCAGCTGTGTCATAATTGTTATTATCCTGTTAAATAGTGGCCCACGATACCTTTTTGATAGCTTGGCTTGCAACTGTGTCTTAATTGTTGCATGGTTCATCACCTCCTGTTGGGTTTGGAGTTAGATCAGAAGAGCACTGTCCCCAATAGGGAAGGATGGGGCCTATCAACCTTGAGTCAAATTTGTTTTCAGAACAGTTTAGGACCCTCTCTTCACTAGTCTACCCACCCTCCCCTTTCCTCCCATATCACAACTTCGTGTGTTATTGCTGCCTGTTTGGCAGTTACATAGAAGCATTGTATGACTTACTTCCTGAATGGATTGATATTTCCTTCGTGATTGGCGGACTGTACTATTTTTTGTCCTCTATTGGTTGTTTTCGTATCTTGTGTGACCATCTGTAGATCGCTGAGGGAATTTCACACAACTGTTGCCAAAATAGCAGCAAGGTCTCCTCATCTGGTTTGTTTCTTGAGGACTAAAAGTGTTTCCAATTAAATTGGTAGTTCTTGAGAATAAAAGTCACATCATGAACTTTAAAGCTACCTTTATTTCTTTTCTTTAACAAAATTGTTAAATTGGATTGTTGGTGCTAGATACCAGATGAAAGTGACATCATTATTACGAGTCCATGTATATGAACCTGCATTTGTTCTCATTTTTGTCAACACATGTTTAAAATTAGGATGTTCAATCGTCCTCAAGCAATAAATTTAATTGTGAGTTCAAAGTTTGTTTTCTTTCACCTAGATTTTAACAAAATTGATGATGATCAGCTTTTCCACTCTTAATGCTTGATGTGATCAATATCTTAAATAATGTGGAGCTGTGACAGGGTTTTTCTTGTGCAGGATGAAAAATCAGCCGCTTGCTTTTTGCTTCACAGTCAAAAATTTATTGAATTAGTCCGGGTATATGTTTTTTTCCCTGTTTAGTTTGCTTTAGTCACTTTTTTTCCTCCAATAAAGGAAATCTTTAATTCGTGGTTATGAATATGGACTTGCTGCAAGTTATTTTCTGAAAGTTGCTTCAGCATATCTAGAAACTTGATTCTGGCTTTTTTTTATTATTATTAAATAATAATGAATTGCTTATATGCATGGCAGTCTGTACATGCATGCTGTTGTCAGTTAGTTTCCGTTTATAGCTCATGATTAGTTTCTCCATGGTAATTGTCAACTGTTCTACTGCATGATCAGGAAGTCATGACTTTTGAGTACTTAACTGAATATCTAGTCATGAAAATTTATTTAATGCATGTAGGTTGGGGCACTAGGGGATGCTGTCACGTATGGAAGGATTGAATTAGCAAAGTTCTTTAAGCTGCCCCCATTTGATTATCTAGTTCGGGTACTCAAACTTTCTTTCATGCACTGTCTCTTTTTTTTGTTTTATTTTTGTCTGGGAATATTTTACTCACATAATGAGAGAGGAAAGAAAATTGTGCCCATCTCCCTAATGTCTAATGATGTCTTCTGTCTCATGGCACCGAGTCAGTTGCTAAATCTGTCTGATATTCCCATGCTTTTGCAGGATTGTGTAGCCTTACTGGCATATGAACAGCCAGAAAAGTGCTCAGCTGGGTATCTTCTTGAGGATTCACAGCGTGAGATTGTGGCTGATGCTGTAAATGCCATGATTTTGTTAACAGATCCCAATGTGAAGGATTCACAAAGCTGCTTGCGATCACATCTGGAGAGGTTGCTCAGACAGCTTACAGTTTGCTGCTTGGAGAGAAGATCCTTTAATGGGGATCAGGGTGAAGTTTTCCACCTGCATAGAGTGCTTTAAAAGTGGGGAGAGGGCCAGGTGCCAACTCATATATTTCTTCATTTTGGCGCACCGTTTGTATGGGTAGTTGGCTTTCCCTCCCTGCGATGCAGGTGATCTGATTGGTCAAAGTGTCAGTATACCTGCTAGATGGCCTCTGGATGCTTGACTTATGCAATAATCAGATGCTGTGGGGATTCTCTACTCGCAAATTTAACCTGGGATGCATAACTTTAATCACGCTATAAACTGTTGTCTCAATGCCTGCAGTCAGATTTCACCCAGAAGATGTTGCTATCGGGCTTTACTGTAAATAATTTGACATACAAATGCACAATTTGTTCAATATTTTTCATTTGATTCTAAAGAAGACACTGATGGTCTTTTTCATGGGTAAGGTAAAGTGATGCTAGCATATGATAATTACTTAAGGCTTATATATATAAATGAGTTTCAGGGGGTTTTTAAAATTAATTTAGCTAGAGAAACATAATTTATGTTTTTTTTAAGGCATGTACTTTTTGAAAAGCACTTATAAGCGGAAGCTACGCTTTAATGCTTCAGCCGATCTTAATTCTGAAACCTGTCTGCGAAATCAGTTCAAAGAAATGAGAATGTGTCCTGCAAGTTGTTAAAATTATGAGTTAATTTGTAAAATTTTATGATTTTATAAGTTAATATGCATGTAATGTGTTAAATTCATGTATGTAATATGTTATATTGGATTAAAAACTTGAAATAACTAAAATTAAATTAAATTTGTGTAAAATTGATAAATTAGATCTAATTTTATGAATTTATTAAATTTATAATATAAGTTAAGTCGGAATTTATTAAATTTATAATATAAGTTAAGTTGGTTTAAATTTGGTTTTAAATTTGGTTTTAAAATATTTACTGATTAATTTTATAAGATTGAATATATTTTTTAAATCGTATATTGAATAAAGTTAAAATTTTATAAAGAAATATTATATATATGAAAATACATTATAGTAAATTTTTAAGTTAAATAGAGTTAGAGAACATAATAATTCAAAGGGTTAAATTTAATAAACTAATGTGGTCAAATATATCAAAGTTTGAGATATATCTAAAGTTACTGGTGAAATTTTATTTCTATTAAAGTTAGAATAGTGGAATTTTGTATCGATTAAAGTTACGATAAAAATTAGATATCTGAAATTTTCAAACTATATATTGTAAGTCCAATAATTTATCTAAACAAGAAAAAATAACATGTTTGAAATTATAACTCAAATATGTTAAGAATATACAAAAAATGAAGATCTAGGCTACATGGAAGAATTTTAACATGAAGATTTTTTTTATTATTCTATTCTATTCTATTTATTTAATTTTAAATAATTATTTTAAATTTGATTTTTTTCTAATGCATTAGACATTTTTTAGGAGTTTATTCTATTATTGAATTTACATTAGTTAATTACTAATTTAAATTCATTAGCTTGCAATCCAAAATAGATCTATCAAGATTTATTGTTATTGGAACAACCAAAATATTATTATGTTTATGTTTGCTTTTTACCTTTCAATGTTTTTCTTATATTACAAAATTTTATTATGAGACTTTTTATTTTTTTGTATCATTAATTTATTAATTCATATTATTTATTTCTTTTATTTTATTTAGATATTTTATTAATTATAATATTGTTAACTTATTTTATCAGATTTTAATGTAATTTATTTTTTTGACTAGAATTATCAATATATAATTAGTTAAAAAAATTATTTATAATTTTACAATCAAGTTTATATTGTATTTTTCATATCATATTAAAACTAACAATTTTTACAGCCTTCACCTTATTTGAAATGAGTGTGTGGAAAAGAGCCACCAAAACTTCAAATCTGTTTCTCATGTTTCAAGATCAGCTTAAATAATCGCATTAGAAGCCAACTCCCTTACGATTTTAAATGTTCGTTTCAGTTTTCCAAGGCACTCTCTGTATGGAGAATTTAAATTCATTAGCTTGCAACCCAAAACAGGTCTATCAAGATTTATTGTTATTGAAACAACCAAAATATTATTATGTTTATGTGTGCTTTTTACCTTTTCAGTGTTTTTCTTATATTACAAAATTTTATTATGAGACTTTTTATTTTTTTGTATCATTAATTTATTAATTCATATTATTTATCTCTTTTATTTTATTTAGATATTTTATTAATTATAATATTGTTAACTTATTTTATTAGATTTTAATGTAATTTATTTTTTTGACTAGAATTATCAATATATAATTAGTTAAAAAAATTATTTATAATTTTACGATTAAGTTTATATTGTATTTTTTATATCATATTAAAAAAATAATTTTTACAACCTTCACCTTATGTGAAATGAGCGTGTGGAAAAGAGTCACCAAAACTTCAAATCTGTTTCTCATGTTTCAAGATCAGCTTAAATAGTCGCATTAGAAGCCAACTCCCTTACTATTTTAAATGTTCGTTCCAGTTTTCCAGGGCACTCTCTGTACGGATAACAAAATATTTCACCAAGGTTGGTTGAAAAAATAAACGTGAAAGCTTGCAGATAGCTAGTCTAGTTCCTATCTCAAGGCTACTCGTTTAAATGCTATAAAATGTTGACGATGAATGTAGCCTGCAAAACGATTGTCTTATGCATTCCCAGGATTCCATTTTTCATCAGCTTTAGGCATAAGCAACTTCCTCCTAATTTCTCTCAATTTTCCCACTTCAAATTCCTGAATGTCTTATCCGCGGCATCCAAAACTCTTACAAACTGATTTCCGCATCCAGATTCATTTAGAAAGAACATCAAAACATTCAGAATAAATATTCCTCAAATGACATTGGTGATGACCAAAAACATGCTTAAATGGAATACTGAAAATGAAAGAAGAGCAACTCTTATTAGAAATAGTTGGCCAGCTATGCTTCTTCTTTGCTGCAGGCTACTCTACTAGTTCTCTCTTAACCTGTGACTGAATAACAAGAGACAATATAGAACAGTCAGTGGCTGTTTAACGTTGGATTTACTTGCATGGTGCTGTCCTAGCAATGGCCCGGATGGCTCAAAACATATCATTTGTCCAAAAAGAATAGTTTTTTTCATGGTAAATCTCGTTTGACACCGCTGTTGTGATTAAAAGACACCCAGTTATTGCCACAATCTTTAACTACTCAAACTCGAAGTGAATAAAAACGAATTCAACTTCATCGATATGGATGCTAGATTTACTAAAGAGAAGGAAAAACTTGAACAGAAAGGATATAGCCCTCACAAATCACAATTAAAGCTCCACAGTAACCTTCAAGCATCAATACTTTGCGGCTGTGGTGTACTTGATGAGCATGTCAACAATATCTGACTGGACCTTAGAGGCTGACTTCTTCAGGTTTCGAATCTTTACGTCAGTTTCCTCTGCAAGCCGTTCCGCGGTGAAGCCAGAGTTCCCACTTGTCTAAATGGATTTGAAAAAACCAAATAAAGTTAATAAAGAAATTGTAATTCAAGCTAGATAATTAAAGCTATGTTGATGAAAATGCTGTTATTTGGATTCTTTATAGTTTCTGTTGGCAACAGATGCGAGACTGAAAATAGATATAGCTGAGGAGATAGCTAACCATACCTCACCAACTCTCTTTTGGTACTCAGATTCCATGTTGGAGCGATAATGGCCTGCATCTTTCTCGGCTTCTTCTTTAGCTTGCCTTAACCTTGTTGTCCTCACTGGACAGCAATTTGAGATTTTTGTTGGTTACAAACGATTTGGACGATATACAAAATATAATGTAATAAAGCAAAAAACAAGGAGAGTGGAGATTTTTGTTGGTTACAAACGATTTGGACTAATTAAAGATATACAAAATATAATGTAATAGAGCAAAAAACAAGGACAGTGTTCAGTTCTTACAGTTTCTAGCAGCAGTAACAATTTGTTGAGCCTCCTGTTCTGCAGTTAGTAGCATCTGAATCCCTTCATGACCTCTCATGGAATCCATGGTAGCAATGCAACCTCAACTAGAAAGAACAACTCCATGAGAAAACAAGTTTTCAAGCACTAATAGCAGGTATCGTATTAGAAGAAAAGGACAGAAGTAAACCAGAGCAGATCTTCAAGCTGATTGACTGAACCATCAAATTGCAGAAAAACACAAAACAACTAATCTGATGATAGTACATTCCTTAAAACACTCTGCAAGCTAAAATAGCTAAACAAGATTTCTGAAGACATAATAACAATGCTGGGAGCAAAATGTTCAGGGAATTTAAAGGACATTATAACCATGACAGGTTCAAAAGACTTTGTGAGTGATGCTAAACTCTAAAATTCAGATAGCTTTGCCTACCATCCTTTTCAGTAAGATTAATGGGACCAAGTGCTTTCTTATTTGATTTTTCCCATTTGATGTTATTCAAACAGCGTCCTTATAGAAAGCTGATCAAACTATATACACAGCCTTAGAAGATCTGCTTAGGGAGACTCCAATGCCATTAAGCAATATCAGCCACCAAGAGCTGTCAAAGAAATCAACAATAACTGGACCTAAAACGAGCAATTCTGTAACTTAAGGGGACAAAAAAACAAAAAAAAACACAGTGAAGTGACTGTACAGAAGAAGACAGATCCTACATGATGAATATAAAAATTGTGAAGCCGGATAAAGATGTCAAATGCAGTGAAATTTGTGTTTGTTTTGATTTGAACCTGTAAGCATGTTAGAGAAATTCCAAATATGGATGAATAAGCATGAGCTGATACAATTAACTTTTCAGAACACGGTGAAAATATGTTTGAAGAAATCAATGTGTGGCTCATAAATATTCAAAAGTTTACAAAAAAAGCACCATTGTTACATGGGCATGCACATTTACTCTCAAATGCAACAAGGGTAAAGAAATCATGGAAATACGTACGTAGAAAAAACTGAATAACATAAATACCTAAAGAAATCATGGAAATACGTGCGTAAAAAAAACTCAATAACATAAATACCTGAAGAAAGAAAGAAATTGCAGAAGAATTCTTTCCACGAGCCCTCTTCCAGAATAGGGAAAAAATGGCACTTGGTTTCTTGGAAATTTTTGAGGGTGAGAGAGAGATTTTCTCCATAATTGAAGGTATCAGTTAATTAATCTTTTTCCTTAGTCAATACTAGATTTGTGGCGTGCTCTGCCAGGAGCCGGCCAATTTCTTTTGTTTTTTTTTTATGTAAAAAAAAATGATAAGATAATTTTTTTTATATGGGTAAAATTAGTAATTTAAATAGTATAATTAAAAAAATATAATAATAATAAATAAAATTATAAAAAAATGACAAAAAAAAGAACCCAACTTAAGTGTACTTGAATTATCAAACAATTTTAATATTGAAAGATAAAAAAAAAAAGAAATTAACTTGCAAATCTTAGGATCATTGATATAAGATTAAGACAATCTCAAAGAATGTATAGAAAAAACATAAAAATTAATTTTTAATAAATCAAATAAAAACATAATAAATTTATAAAAAGAAAAGTAGAAAGAAAAAAAGAAGTTCAATCTCTTGTAAATAGAACATAAAGGATAAAAAATAAAAAATATATAATTAATAAAAAATAAAAAAATTAATCCGAGCCCAAACATATTAAGATGCAAATTCTCTACCAAATCTTAATATCTAAGTGACCAAGTTTGAAAATAAATTAAATAAAATCATGATGCTGGATTATTGAACAATTCAATATTAAAAAAAATTAATTTAAAAGGACAACTAGAAAAAATATAAGTCAACCTAACTTAAATTGTAAACCCAATGACCATGGATACATGATTAAGATAACAAAAAAAAAAAAGAAAAGAAAAAAAGAGTAAGAAAACTAGTTTCTAATAAGTTAAATGTTAAAAGATTTAATTGAAATTGAAATAAATTAATTTAAAAAAAAATAAAAATAAAAATTAACCCACATTAAGTTTTGAAACCCGTGAGTCCATGACCTTAGTCATGAATCCAAGACTAATTCATAGAATACAAATTGTAAAAAGTAAAAAAAACAAAACTCTAAACCAAAATTAATTTAAAAAATAATTTTAAATAAAAAATAATAAAAAAATAAGAATCAATTTTGAAAGATAAAAAAATTTAAGATAAATAAAATTTAAAAAGTACACCAATTTTATAATTTATTCAAATTGAAAAAATTATAATAAAAAGAACATTATCTAAATTTGAAGAATTAACAAATTAAAACGATGATTTGAAATTTTTAAGAGATTAACAAGAAAATCGAGGTTATAAGTGCCAAATCACTAAGAATTTGAAAACATGTACTGTCTTATTATGTAAAGGGTGTTGTGAAGATTCAAACGTTGTTAGTTAAGGTAGTGTTTGGTGTTTGGGAAAGTGTTCACATGTCATTCATTTGTTGTTGCGTGTCAAACGGCTCCATTGAGTTTTTTTATTTAAAATATTTAATATTTATTAAAATACAACAATACCCCCAAACTAATATGATATTATAAAAAAATCATAGTAAAAAGATAAAAAAACCCTTTTAGGAGAGTTATGTTGATTATGTATTAAGGGCATATATAAAAGTAATTTAACTATTTTGAAAAAAATAAAAAGATAATAATGCTCTAATTGAAAGATAACATTTTTTTTTAATTGGAGGGGATATATATATATATATCAAAATGTTATCACCACTATGATGGGTGGCAACAATAATTAGAGATGTAGATAATGGAAAAAAGTAGTTAATATTTAATAAATAAAAATAATAAATTATTTTTTTAAAATCTCGTTCTCATTTCTTATTTTTATTTTGTGAATGGAGTTATGATTAATTTTATCATTATTTCTTCTGACCAATCCTCCACAAAGTGAAGATTAAACTTTCATTTTCAATATTTACAGTTTTACACCATCTCGTTCTTTGTCATCAAGCAACGCTATATAAAACTCATGTTTGATTTCACTTTATTAATAAATAATAATTCTTGATGTCATCAATTTAATTTAATATTAAAACGGATTAGGAATTTCAAGAACACATTCACATTTAAAGACCTATTCAGAATTTCTATGAAATTAAATACTTTTAAAATTGCTATTGACTGAAATAAATTATAAAAATATGCATATATGTAAGACTTATTTTAAATTCAATGCATATCCTTTTTAAATTCGTATAGTTGTAGATTTTTGAAAGAGACATTACAGATTATGTCACATGATTCATATCTGAGGATGATCGTGACGAGGAGGATTGCCCAGTTATTAAACTATCTGTGGATGACAAGAGGAGAATTAGGGAACTACGGCGACAGACCTTAATCACTTATTTTTCTTTTTTTAATTAAGTGTGGTAGCCTTTGTATATTTTAATTAATTTTTTATATTTTAAAATTAATAATTATATAAATTTTAAATAATTCTAAAAACACTTAAATTTATAATTATTAAAAAACAAACTCATGACTGAATAAATTAAGTTATACCTAAGAGTTAAAAGACCTAAATCACTAATATTTTTTTTTCACTAATATTATGGACAGGAGAGTTGGCTACACATATCTCATTCGTACACTTGGAATGATGTGGAATTTACAGGCAGATTTTGGTTTAGTGAATATGGGGAATGACTTTTTCCGCTAAAACTCTCTTATAACAAAGATAATTTGAAAATTTTTATTAAATAGAAATAAAAAATAATTAAATTAATATAAAATTTAAATATTTAAAAATTAATTATTTTAATATAAAAATTAAATATTTATTACAAAAATACAATAAATCTAGAATAGAGACAACACTTGAAAAAAAAGAGAAGGAATAGACTAGTCATTCCTATGATCATGAGGCTAATAAGAGAATATACATATATCAACTATCTATGATTTTATATCCATGACCATTCAATATAGTTCTTCAAAATTAGTAGAGAGTTGTTTATATTTTTCTTTAAGATGAGTCATATGTTATTGTACTCCTTGATCTAATAACCTTGCGCACTTCAGAAATAAATTGAGTGCCCAGGACCTATTGCAAGCATGAAACATTATGAGCTGTTCGCAAGTTCTTGACCAGGCTCTAGAAATTGAGTGCTCAGGACAGACTGCAAGCACAAAACACTATGGGTCATTCGCAAGTTCTTGACCATTGTGTTAGAGTGTCTATATACTCAATTTTTATCGGGTCCATCATCTCCATTCGCAAGTTCTTGACCATTGTGTTAGAAAGTCTGTACACTCAATTTTTATCGGGTCCACCAGACGATGCTGCTTTCAACCATAAATCTAGATCGATATCTAGGTGAGTCGAAGGATCATTCACGTATCTCTTCTTAAATTGACTGTTATATGTTTCTTGAAAATAAAAACAAAATCATCAAATTCAAGTAAATAATAACTTAAGAAAAAAAATGGTTGAAAACCAACATATCAAAAAGTGTTGAGCTTGACTATCGATAAACTGTTGCACTCCTTTTTGATAGTTATCACTCCGCATATGCATTTCCACAAAAAGCTTTATTGGACTTGGTTCTCATCCAAAAGCTGTAGCCTGCGAGATAAAAATATTGTCAGTTAAATATATTGATAAAAAAATAAAAAAATGGATGTAATTAAAAAAATATTACCATTGGTTTTGCATACGAAACAAATAGAATGGAGTCGCCAATGTGGGTGATAACAAAATTGTGAATTTGCTGATTCTGATTCCTCACGCCGAATTGTGATCATCGCATGACACGTTTAGATGTCACATGCTGAATGTATTCCGTCCATATAGTCTTCAAGATATATGATGACATAAAATCCTTCCAAACTGCCATTCACATATTTTTAGATTTCTTTTGTACCTCGTACCAGTTATCACGCAGCTTATATGGTACAAACAAATTATTTATAAGTAAATGACAAATAAAATTTTAATATTAAAAATAAAAAGATATCTTAATTTTGATATCACCTAGTTGCAACGTAATTTTTTTAAACTCTCCTTGCAATATTATTGTTTGCTCTATCCTTTCAAATTTTCCTTGGCAACAAAAAAATATATAAAAAAAATTCAATAATTTTAATAGAAAGAAATTAACATAATAATTTTTTTAAAATTAATACTAACATTAAATCTTAAAAACCATAATTTGACCTGCAAAGGAATATGTTTAGAAACATTAATAAAAGTTTTCATTCAGTAATTTCAATAAAATAAATGAATTAATTTAATTTTTTTTTTAAAGTTAATATTAATCTTAAACCTTAAAACCATGTACCAAACTGTAATTTCCTTTCAAAATATTTATAAATATGACTCATTCAACGAGCCTGATCCCATTTCCAATCTCTCTTCAAGCTATAATAAAAATAACAAATATATATTTTTTGGTTCAGAAGTCACATCTTGTAGACATCAACATTGAATTCAACGTTCGGCAGTTGAGCAATGTAGTTGACTTTGACTTTCTTCAACCACAAATTCTTAATTAAAGGCTAATTAACACTTGCTAAATGAGCATTACAGCTGACTTTGACTCTCTTCTACCACTGGCTCTTAAAGTGTAGTCAACTTTTGCTAAATGAGCATTGTAGTGTTGATATTCTTGACTTTCTCACACTACAAATTCTTAAGGGCTAACACTTCATGGTTCAGATTCAGCAGAAATATGGGTGGTACAAGACTTGCCGCCGCTGCAGTGGTTCTTCTTGTGCTCGGTATGCTCTCATCTCAAAACATTCCCCCCCCCCCCCTCGCAAATAGCAAATTCTTGTTCTTCAGCGAGTAAAGTAATTTTTTTTCCTGATGAAAAGTCTATGAAAATTGTTTCTGTAAAACTATTATAAGGGCAAAGTAACATCCAAATTATGGTAAATGAGTGATGTTTGTCTGTTGATTATGAGCAGGTGTGGTTTTACTCGGAGCCGGTGGTGGTAACTTGATTGCCAAGGCCTGTCCTCTTTACTGCTTGGATGTGGATTACATGACTTGCGAGTCCTCCGGTGATAAGAAGCTTAATTCTGCTTGCAACTGCTGCTTGGCTCCCGAGAACTGCACCCTTCACCTTGCAGATGGAAGGACGGTTCAGTGTTGATTATATATATACACACGAGGCCATATTAATGGCTTCAGTACTTATGTAACCATATAGTATTGAATAAAATAAATAAATAAGTTGAATGATCCAGATGATCTTATGCTAGTTTTAGTATAAGCGTTCAATTATATTTGCAACATCTTAATTCAGAAGTATATATATATATATATATCTCCTAATCTAGAGAGCTAATCTTAATGTCATGTTATCTGAAATACATATATAAGCTTGATTTTGAATGAGAGAAAATTCTGTTCAGGCATCATATTTATGAACTCCAAATTGGTAGAATTCAAAGTTCCCTTGTTTACATTTGATTAGTGTCGTAGAAAAGAATGATCATATATAAAAAGAACAGCTAGCAACGTATGAAAATCCCAATTTTTTATACAAGACACAATAACTAATATAGAAATCATGATTATCCAGTGGTAGCACGCTAATTTCTCTATCAATAACACTTCTTCTCCATGAAAGAACTCCAAGATTTGAGTGTATAAATACTATGGTAAAATCCAAATCGGATTCTTATTTAGAGCTTCAATTAGTCATTAAAATAACCATCTCATTTGGAAAGCTACTATGCTTCCTGACTTGAAAGGCCATAAGATATTTGGTTGTATGGATGACACTCTCAAACAGCCACCACGCACAGGAATTACATGTTGCTAAGTACAATCTCTCCCATTCCCGCTTTTGAAACAGGGGAAATTCTAGACAATCTGATTCTAAGCTGCATCAACGCCTCTCTCGTTAGGACATTCAAGCATTCAAACACACATCAATTTACGTGGTTCGGCAACTTGCCTACTCTACGAAGCTACTGGTTTGTATTAATCAAACTCAAAAGCAATATAAACAACAAAACAAGAAGGAGGAGAAAAACTTCTTTACTCAACTCAACTCTCTCTTTTAAGCTCTCTTTGTGTTTCTCTCTATTTCGTGATGATGCTCAGCTATCAATGACACTCTCTATTTATAGTTGAAGTGGGAGATAAGCTTCTTCCTTTGGTCAACAATGGTGGGCAACAATTTCTTTGGTTAGGCACCTACCATTGACTCTTGCATTGCAATCATATGGCTGCCACCTACTATTTGTGTCCATACATAACAATCTCCCACTTGGACACAAATG